AGATGGAATTATTAAACATTAGTTCAACATTTTAGACCAAATGAGAGGTCTCCATGGCAAAATGTTAATAACAATAATAGTAGCTGAATTCTTACTGTGTGGTAGGTGCTACTTTAAGAGCTTTGCTTGGATAATCTCCCCAGTAATCTTGCTAATTCCTGAAACTTTCACTGGCTCATGTTATTCTTTCCCTTTGTCAACTGCAGTGCTAAGCTCAGCACTGTCACTGCAGAATTTTTGTAGCATTTACAGGAAAAAAAATATGCAGAGACTTGTGTTATACAAAGAAGCCACAGCCTTTGCCAGATCATTGTTTGCCAGTCTTTCATCTTTTCAGTCCCAGACATGGTCAGCTTCTCTGAGTTTGTGCTTCTACACCATGAGGCACACTGAGGAATTTTCCCATCAAAATCTGGTCTTTATCGTGGAAGAATATTCTTACCAAGAAAATTTTCTATAGCTTAAAATTTAAGTGGTTTTCCTTCCATCAAAAGAAAAAAAAGCATGAAATGCTTACAGTCTGGAAAATATTTGCCTATATTTTATAGAAATATAAAGATATGTCAGAGGAAAGCAGCCTAGTAAGTTACATTTTAACCATTTGATGGAGTGAAGTATAAATAACTATAATCTATTAAAATATTATGAGAGAGAAAGAGTAATAGAAATTCAGACATAAAAGAGATTGTGTACAATTGAGGAGAATCAGGAAAGGCTTACTTGAAGTGGAAGACCATCACTTGTACTTGGAAGGAAGCGGTGAGACTAGACAAGGAGAAACCAGAAGCAACACAATCCAAGTAAATAAAATATGAACAAAGGCAAAGCAGGGGCCTGGGTGTGGAGGAATACAGCAACTGTTTCAGTCTATCTGGCCTTTAAAGTGTCTATAGAAAAACTATGGGGGATAAAGTTGAGGCCAGAGTGAAAATATTTAACTTGCATGCCATAATAAGAAAAGTAGATTTTTTTTTTGTAAATGGTGATAAGACTAGAAGGATATTTATCCACATTAAAAACATAATTTTGATCTCACTTTTATCATTCATTTGTAAGCAGAAACAATACTGAGCCTAAACACTATTTTCTAGGCCTTATTTATTCTGACTATATATTTTATACAAATATAGAATTGCATGAATTTAAATAGTCTTAATCATTTTAACTGCTACTTATGAATTGTCACTGTAGTTTTTATTTACCAAAATATCCTTTAGAGTTGTTTCTTTTTTTGACCATTATGCTTTTTAAAGTTATTTATTTTTGTTTTGTTTTCCTTTTATTTATGTTATTATATATGTTATTATATAATATATATGTTATATATATAATAACATATATATGTTATTATATAACAGGTAGAGTTATAGACAGTGAGTGAGAGACAGAGAAAAAGGTCTTCCTTCCATTGGTTCACTCCCCAGATGGCCTCCACGGCCGGTGGAGAAGCCAGGAGCCAGGTGCTTCTCCTGGTCTCCCATGCAAGTGCAGGGGCCCACGCACTTGGGACATCCTCCACTGCTCACCCGGGCCACAGCAGAGAGCTGGACTGGAAGAGGAGCAACTGGGACTAGAACCGGCACCCATATGGGATGCCGGCGCTGCAGGCAGAGGATTAACCAAGTGAGCCATGGCGCTGGCCCCTGTTTTAATTTTTAGTTTTTAACAGATTCAATGTGACTTGTAGATGCAAGTCTAAGAACACAGCAATATTCCCTTCTTCCCTCCCACCATCTTTCCTTCTCCCTTTCTTTTCAGTGTTTGAGATAGCATACTTTAAAATTACGTTACAATAAAAAGTTGTAATACTTCACCACATAAGAAGTTTAACAAGTAAAAAGCAAAGAGACTTGAGTTTAGTAGGAATATAGACAATGACTATAAAATATAATTAAATGGAAAAATGACCGTTTCATCCATATACAGTAAATTTTACAGTAATCACATATCATCCTTTTTTTATAAAGATTTATTTATTTATTCGAAAGTCAGAGTTACAGAGAGACAGAGAGAGGGAGAGAGATCTTCTATCTGCTGGTTCACTCCCCAGATGGCCACAATGGCTGGAGCTGCACCAATCCAAAGCCAGGAGCCAGGAGCTTCTTCCAGGTCTCTCTCATGGGTGCAGGGTCCCAAGGACTTGGGCCATCTTCTACTGCTTTCCCAAGCCATAGCAGAGAGCTAGATCAGAAGAGGAGCAGCTGGGACTAGAACCGGTGCCCACATGGGATGCTGGCGTTCAGGCCAGGGTGTTAACCTGCTGCGCCAGAGCGCTGGCTCCCAAAGATCATTCTTAACCATTGGTTTGACAAAGTTATAAAACAAAGTTTTACAAAACTATATTTGCAGCAATACTGATAGAGGCAATTCTTTTTTTTTTCCTTCCTTTTTTTTTTTTTTTTTAAATTTTAACTCCCACATATAAGGTAGAACATATGGTATTTGTCTTTCTATGTCTGGCTTATTTTACTGAACATAATATCCTCCATTTGTATCCATTTTGTTGTAAATGGTAGATTCATTATTTTGTATAGCTGAATAATAGTCCATTGTGTAAATATACCACATTTTCTTTATCCATTCATCTGATGATGGACACCTTGGTTGATTTCAAATTTTGACTATTGTGAACAGTGCTGCAATCAACATGGTGGTGCAGGTATCTCTTTGTTATAATGTGTCCATGTCCTTTGGGTATTTACCCAGTAGTGGGATTGCTCTATCATATGGCAAGTCTATTTCTAGTTTCTCAAGAAATCTTCAGACTGTTTTCCACAGTGGCAGCACTAATTTACATTCCCACCAACAGTGTAAAGTGTTTCCCTTTGTCCACATCCTCACCAGCATTTGTTGCTCTCTCTGTTTTAGATTTTAACCATTCTGACAAGGGTGATGTGATACCTCATTGTGGTTTAGGTTTGCATTTCCCTGATGGCTAGTGATGCTGAACATTTTTTCATAAATTTGTTGGCCATCTGTATTTCTTCTTTGAGAACTGTTTATTGAAGTCCTTTGCCCATTTCTCAGCTGAATTAGCTCTGGGTATTTTTGTTTTGTTTTGTTTTGTTTTGCTTTGCTTTGTTTTGTTTTGCTGTTGAGTTTTTAAATTTGCTGATATATTTAGGATATTGTCAGATTGGTGGTTTGCAAATATGTTTTCCCCTTGTGTTGAATGACTCTTCATTTATAGATCGTATCCTCTGCTGTGCAAAAGCTTCTGAGCTTGGTATAATCCCATCTATTTAGTTTTGCCTTTATTGTCTGGGCTTTGAGGGTCTTGTCCAAACAGTAGTCCTTTACACCAATGTCTTAAAGTGTTTCCCTTATGTTTTCTTTCAGCAACTTCACAGTCTCAATGACTTAAATTTAGGTATTTGATCCATCTTGAGTTGATTTTTGTATATAGAGATATGAATCTAATTTCATTCTTCTATATTTATGCACCCAGTTTTGCCAGCACTGTTTGTTGAAGACATTATCCTTATTCCACTTCATGGTTTGAGCACTTTTGTCAAAAATCAGTTGGCTGTATATACCTACATTGATTTCTAGGCTCTTTATTCTGTTTCATTGATTTATGTATTGGTTTTTATGCCAGCATCAAGCTGTTTTAATTACTGTAACTTTCAAGAAGAATTTTTATTATGTAGGTACAGCTGTGTCCAATTGACTTTATTAAGCAGATCTTAAATATTGTCTTAGTCTTTTCTCTCCCTTTTAAAGAGTTTGATTGGAGCATTGCACTGAGTAGTAACAACAGGCTCTTCCTAATCCTGTCCCTAAACTTGATGCTTCTCTGTTCCTTTGACAAATAGACTCCCCATAGTCCTTACTTTCATATTTAACAGTTCTATAGGAATTCTTGGGTTTATAGATGGAAATATAAAGGCTTTACATTGAGTATTCAATGCAGTAATTTTAAGATATATTTTTTAATTTATTTCCCATACCAACCATGGGGTAATAAATGTATAGACTGTATACAGTATGAATTGCATTATATAATTAGCATGTATATCTGCTTTAATCTCATGGAAGTTACTTTTCTAAAATAAATTGGATTATTAAAACATATGTGGATATTTTGGTTCAATTACTTAAATTGTAGTACATTGAATATATTAAGCTATGACTACATGCACATATAATAACTGAAAATGTCAAAGCACTTTGTTTTAATGATAGATCACTGGGAATTACCAAATTGTTGTAAGATATAATAGTAAGACTATAAATCTTTATTTTTAAGAATACTTAGAGAAAGTAACTGTGGCTTGTAAGAACCTAAATTATGAAATCTTTCAAAAGACATTAGGTTTGGGAGCCAGCGTTTTGTGTAATGATTAAGATGCCATTTGGGATACTTCCATCCTATATAGAAGTAACTGAGTTCAAGTTCCAGTTCTGTTTCCTATTCAAGCTTCCTGCTAATATGCACTCTTGGAAGGCAGAAGGCCTCAATTCCTTGGGCCCCTCCTACCCACATGGGAGACTCAAGTTGAGTTCCAGGATCCTGGCTTTTGCCTGGTCCAGCACTAACAGTTGTAGGCATTTGATAGTGAACTAGCAGAAGGAAGATCTCCCTGTTTCTGTTGATATCTCTGTCTCTGCTTCTCTGTGTCTCTCAAAAAAAAAAAAATTGGTTTGTAATTTCAAAACAAGAAGCCATACATTTCACATTTACTATTTAACTGTTAAAAGAAGCAGGAAAAAAATCATTGTACAAAGCATTTACCTTGCAGGTATTGATATGTTGTTTTAAGAAAGAATTTTGGACAAAAGTATCCTATTTCACACTAAGTTTATAGACCCACAGTTCAAATGCTTGAAGTGGTAGCGTTTGTGCAATTATTCTGGTAGTGGTGTAATTTGACAATTAGAAAAGCATCTGATTAAACTCTTCACATTCCATTCTTGCTTAATATGTTGGTTTAGATGCATTTGTCAATTTTTAAGTGCAGTTAATTAAAATTTTTCAAATTTTCTTTTTTTTTTTTAAGGAGCCCGCTACATGAAAAAAATGCAAGTCAAAGTGGTCACAACCTAGAAGTCTGCAGAGACAGGATAACTAGCAAGTAGATACCGCGTTATTCTATTATGCTTAACTATACAGAATCCACTAGTGTTTGGGGAACTTTACTCTAAAATGACCAAAGAATTCTGTAATTTTAAACTTAGCAGTATTTGTGCTGTATCACAAAAATAATTAGGGAGAAAAATGGTAACTATAAATTTTAGGAAACATCTTCTATAAGTAAGAATGAAATTATTTTGATCAGAAATATGAGTTTATTATATCCTCTTTCAAGTCTTATTTGGAAAGTCCTATTCCTACACTTATTTCTTCATAAAAAGAACAAATTAATCTCCTTTTGTCTTGTGATATATTTAAGTATTATGTAAGCACATTAATTCCTATTATAAGTTAAGAATAGAAATTATTTTATATCATACTTTTAAGAAATAGAGTGCACTTACATTCACTTTTGAAGGTCACATTTCAGAATTACAAGGTGATATCAAATGAAATCCAGGCACAAAGCAGAAGGTTTCCATTTATCAGTGCTCTCTGACATTTTCAAGAAATGAAATTGGAGGTTCAATGATAAAAACATGCAATGTTTGAGTGAATGGATAAAAAAGGACTTAAGAATGTGGGAAGGATATATAAGAGTGTTTGAATGACAAGAAGAATCTTTGAAAATCTCATTGCTTCATATTAAAGTGGTCAGAGATGATTATTTCTCCTTAAATACATCTTGAAGATACATAGAATCAGAAAATATTAAAGCTAAAAGGATTTTTAAAAATATTTACATCAAAAATTTCATTGACATGGATAAGAGAAGCAAACTTAAAATTAGAAACCGATTTTATATGTTAAAATTAGTGTTCACACACATATACAAATATATACAACATTTTTTCAAGATAAAAATTAATGTAGTTTTCTTTTAAGATTTATTTATTTATTTGAAAGGCAGAGTTACACAGACAGAGAAGGAGAGGCAGAGAGAGAGAGAGAGAGAGATCTTCCATCCACTGGTTCACTCCCCAGTTGGCAGCAATGGGCAGAGCTACGCCTATCTGAAGCCAATAGCCAGGAGCTTCCTCTGGGTCTCCCATGTGGTTTCACGGTCCCAAGGACTTGGGCCATCTTCTACTGCTTTCCCAGGCCATAGCAGGGAGCTTGATTGGAAGTTGGGGGCAGCCAGGGCTCAAACCAGCATCCATATAGGGTGCCGGCAGTGCAGGTGGCGGTTTTACTCACTAAGCCACAGCACCAGCCCCTGCGGTAAGTTTTTAATTTAACAAATATAACAGATATTTTTCATTGGTAATAATGATTAAAACATATTTGCAAACAGAAATTTGAGAAATGATGCCAGTAGCCACCATCAAAATATATTAGAAATTGTGCATAAACGATTTTATACTTAATATCATATCTTAGTAGATATTTTATTATCTAAAATATGTGATTGTGTTTCAATTGCTTAATACTAGAGATTCTTAAAGAATTATATAAGCCAACAGAGTTTTTTTCCTTTTCAGTGTTTTTGATAGCTTTATGAATGACAAGTCATGGATGATAAATACCTCACATGTAGACTATCAAATATTTATATGATTGAAGCCTCATATTTTGATAAATAGAATACGAAGTAATGACAGTACAGAGGAAAAACACTTTCTTTTTTTAAATGTTTATTCATTTGAAAGGCAGAGTGAGAGAGATGCCTGCAACATCCTGGGCTTGGCCAGGTAGAAGCTGGGAACCCAGATCTCAATCTTTCTGTAATGTGTCTCCCAGATCAGTGGCAGGGCACCAAGTACTTGGAGCCATCACCTGCTGCCTTCCAGGGTGTGCATTAGCAGGAAGTTGGATCAGAAGAGGAGTGGAAACTTGAACCAGGCACTCCAATATGCCATGTGAGCATCCCAAGCGGTAGCTCATCCCAGCCCAAAGCACTTTTATAAGATAAATTATTAGCCATTGATGAATTTGATTTATAAATTTAGACTTTTTTCTTTTTCTTTTTTTTTTTTTTTTTGACAGGCAGAGTGGATAGTGAGAGAGAGAGAGAAAGGTCTTCCTTTTGCCGTTGGTTCACCCTCCAATGGCTGCCACGGCTGGCACGCTGCAGCCGGCGCACCTCGCTGATCCGAAGGCAGGAGCCAGGTGCTTCTCCTGGTCTCCCATGGGTGCAGGGCCCAAGCACTTGGGCCATCTTCCACTGCCTTCCCGGGCCACAGCAGAGAGCTGGCCTGGAAGAGGGGCAACAGGGATAGAATCCAGCGACCCAACCGGGACTAGAACCCAGTGTGCCGGCGCCGCTAGGTGGAGGACCAGCCTATTGAGCCGCAGCGCCGGCCTAGACTTTTTCTTAAAATGCCTTGTGGCATATGCTCACACTGTGAGGGAGTGTAAAAGAAAGTATCTTCCCAATTCAAAAGCTTTTCAAATAGCTCAGGTGTGCTATCATCATAGTGAAGGAGAGAAAATTGTGAAAACATGTTTAGAAATACTTTGTTAGGGACCAGCGTTGTGGTGTAGAGGCACTGGCATCCCACTTGGACAGCAGTTTGAGTCCTAAATACTTCATTTCCAATCCAGCTCCCTGTTAACACACCTGGGAAAGCAGTGGAGATGGCCCAAGTGCTTGGGCCACTGCACTGACATAGGAGACCTGGATGAAGCTTCTGGTGGCTTCTGCCTGGCCCACCCTGGCCATTTTGGCCATTTGTGGAATGATCCAGCAGATGGAAGACATTCTTCCTCTCTCCCTCTCCCTCCCTCCCTCCCTCTCTATCTCTCTTTTTCTCTCCCTCTCTCCCTCCCTTCCCTCCCCCTTTCTCTCTCTGCCTCTGCCACTCTGAGTTTCAAATATGAATGAATAAATAAATCTTTTTTAAAAAGAAACACTTTGTTAATAGTCAATATTAGTTTTAGCTCAACAGAAAATCACACTTATAATTGGAAAGACATTGGGGACCATAAGAGCAGAGTTAGTCAAGAAGGAGTAACATTCAATAGCAGTATGCAGCTGGACTGCTGGGAGTGAGTCGGGTGAGGGGAGAAAAGGAAATTGACACTTGCAGTAATCCAAGTGAGAGATTTAGGAGTCCAAACTACAGTGGTAGCCATAGAGATAGCAGTAGAAGACCTTTGCTGGAAGAAGTATCATTAGATTCCATAGTAAAGGAGTTTGGGTGAATGATGACTCTAGTATTAGAAATCTGGAACAGTAAACGAAGAGCAATTAGCTTTCAATAGAGGATGTTAAGACGATAACTTTCATTAGAAACCTGAAATGCATGTTTCTCTCACATAGCCAGTGTAAGGGTGATCAGAGAGATGATAGAAATAACTGGAGCGGGAGGTGGTTGGAAGACTCATAGCTGGTTTTTCTGAGAAGCTGACAGTTGAAGCTACCAGAATTTAGTGAGACAAAAAAGCATATAGGGTATAAATGGGTAACATTTTCACAGGTAGGATTCTGAAGATCATCAGTAGTCAGTCATCAAAAATTTGAGGGAGAAGAATTAGCCACAGAAATGGAATACTCAGAGATAAGAAGAAAACACTTCCAGTGTCTGTCTTCCTTCTTTCCTTTCCTTTCCTTTCCTTTCCTATCCTTTCCATTCCTTTCCTTTCCTTTCCTTTCCTTTCCTTTCCTTTCCTTTCCTTTCCTTTCCTTTCCTTTCCTTTCCTTTCCTTTCCTTTCCTTTCCTTTCCTTTCCTTTCCTTTCTTTCCTTTCTTTCCTTTCTTTCCTTTCTTTCCTTTCTTTCCTTTCTTTCCTTTCTTTCCTTTCTTTCCTTTCTTTCCTTTCTTTCCTTTCTTTCCTTTCTTTCCTTTCTTTCCTTTCTTCTAAAGAGACCAAAGAAGCAGCAAGATTCAAAGAGATCAACAGTGTTCAATTCTCCTGAAAAGTCTGGGAGGAGGAAGATTGAGGGAGAAAAAGATTTTAGCCTTTGCCTGTACTCAGTAGTTGGGGGACTGATCCACTTTGGGGCGGTTTCATGACTCTTTCAGTATAGTGTCCTTATTCTTTATCTCTTTCCCCCACCAACCCCAATAATAAAATCATGTTCTTCAGATTTACCTATGGATATTTTCATTTTTTATACCAGATTTACTTCCCATAATTTGAATAGCTAATTCAATTAATGTATATTCATCAAGGAAATCTTATTAAGTACTTATCAAATATAGATGGACTTTTGTTATTCCATTTCATAATTTCAAAAATTATTCCTAACTGTAGGCTTACAAGTACTCTATTTGCCTCACAAATAATATTTTTAATCAGTACTTAGCACCCAATAGGTATTTATAAGTCATTATTGAGTGTACTAGTAGTTTTCCCTCTTTAGATCATTCTCACATTGTTTTCAAGTCCAATGTCATCTGCTTGAAGAAAATACTCATAATTATTTGACTATCGTTGAATCCCTAAATAAACAAATAGAACTGAGAATAAAATTTTGTTACACTTTATGTGAGATTTTCCACCTGATTCTCATCAGTCTTGTTTTTCTTTTTCTTTTATTTTTTGGCCCTGGCACCATAGACTTAATTTTCAGAGTTGTACCCAGGGTATAACAGCCACCTAATCATTTTAGACTTTTTATTTAGTAAGAGGTTACTCTCATATCTTCATATTGCTTTTTTCCTTTATCTTGCCACAATAAAAATAGCTTTATTATATTATTTCAGGCTCTTATAAATAATCCAAACGCATTGTAAAACTGTTAAACTACATGAAAGTATGGTGAAGAACATGACAATCACTTGGTCCTTTGGTCCATTTTCTAATGTTACAATTCTCTGATGAAATTCTGTTTCCTTTCATTTCATCTATTTTGCCCACCTTTTCCGTTATTTCTTGAACACACCAATCATAGTCAAAGTTATTGTCCAATAACTCAAGTATCTTTTTTTGAAAGATTTATTTATTTACAGAGAGAAAGAAGAAAGAGAGAGAGATCTTTCATCCACTGATTCACTCTCCCAAATGGCTTCAACAGCCAGAGCTAGGTCAATCCGAAGCCAGGAGCCAGGAGCTTCTT